CCTCAACACTGTGCCAGGCGGTGGCCGACCCGTCATTGCTGGTATAAGCTTCGTGGTTATCACGTCCTCCAGTGGCTGGAACTGGGACGGAGAAATAGACTGAACGCGGCATAGGAAAGCCCAGCGACTTCTCAAGCCCGAGACATATGCATAATATGCTGCCTGGGGCTGCGAGCGAGCGAAATCAGCCAACCGAGTTAGCTCATCAGCCCACTCCCGGACCTTAGTTGATACAAAGTTCTCCTTGAAATCAGCTGAGCCGATGGCCGCCCCCAGGTACCGAGCTCCATTACACGTAACGACGACACTGGTGTCGCTGAACAGCTCAAGTGCCTCACGATAGTCGCTGAACAGCTCAAGTGCCTCACGTCTGTGCTTTAGTCGCTGCCATCGCCGTCGTTGCCGATCTTGTCATTCTTCTACTCTACTCTAAGTTCTAGTTGATGCGGTTCCTGCCAGTAGGTGTCGTGTCAGTCCGGTTGTTTTTCTGGTGGTCTAGATGTTGCTTGGTGTTGATGCCGCTGCGTTAGACCATCTTGTACCAGGATGATTCTTTATTATTATTATTCCTTTATTCCACGATGGCGTGACGCCAATAAGGATGATTAATAAGTGCGATAGAACTGGTACTAGCCAGAAACAGCTAGATGGAAATTAACCGGGAGGCAAGAAGCAATGGATCTTGAAAAACAAGCGGGGGCAATAACGTTAGCAGGGGTGATCGAGATAGTTAAGTACACGTTCGAGATATCAGAAACCAGGGGGATGCGCGGAGCAGGAGCAGGTACTGCTCAAAAGAAGACTGGATGCATTGTTTCGGAAAGAATTTCTACGAGGTTGGGTTGTGATGTCGATAGGGAGTGAGTTGTAGAGGGTGAGGGCACTGTTGATGGGGGAATCTCGGTGCCTGTTCGTGTGTGCGTGTCCGATAGAGTAGGTCCTTGTCTGTCGAAGGGTGTATGGTTGGTGTTGACGTTGTGGTGCAAGATGTGGTTGTTGCAGGTGTGGTGGGGAGGTTTGGTGGTGGATGTCCCATGCTAGTAGGGCTTGTTTAACAAGGAGTCGTGAGCTAAGGGTGGGGAGCTTTGCGTGATGGAGGAGGGAGCTGTGGTGAACTGGTGCAAAGAGGGGAATCCGAAGGCAGATGCGTATAGCACGGCGTTGAATTCTCTCCAGTGTGTCCCGCTGTTGCTGTGTGGTGTTGGAGAGGGCAAGGCTGCCATATTCGAGAATGGGTCGGATGTAGGTTGTGTATATTAACAATAGGCTGGAAGCGTTCATTGTGCCACGTGTCTTGTGGAGTTGGTGTAGTAGTTTTTTGGCTTTGTTGGTGGTTTCTATGATGTGTTGGGTCCATCGCAAATCGTCTTGGAGTGTAACACCAAGGTGCCTATGTTGGTGGACCTGCTGCAGCCGAGTCGAGTGGAGCGTGATGTGGATGGTGTGTTGGGGTTGGAAGGAAAGGACGACGGTTTTCGTGGTGTTGACGAGGAGATGCCAATCCTTCAACCATCGTCCTGCTGCGTCCACGGCACGTTGGAGGAATGCAGCTGACAACTCCCTCGTGTAATGCGTCGCGATGAGTGCCGTGTCATCGGCGAACTGGCTGCATTTAGTGTGAGAGTTTGTACATGCTGGGGGGAGGTCGATCGTGTACACCAGGAAAAGAAGAGGCCCCAGGACAGAGCCCTGGGGTACTCCAGCTGGAATGGATTTCCATGATGACAAAGCGGAGCCAACCTTGACGCGTTGTCGGCGGCGAGTCAGGTAGCTTGTGAGCCAGGTAAGGGCAATGCCACGGACACCAAGGTGCTCGAGTTTGGCCAGGAGGCCAGCATGCCAGACTCGGTCAAAAGCCTTTGATAAGTCAAAGAAGCATGCTGACACTGCCTGACCGGAATCTCGGCTGGCGGAAATCTCATGCACTAGGCGGGAGAGCTGTAGTTCAGTACTATCCTTAGATCGAAATCCAGATTGGTCGGCCGGTAGGTGGGGCTCAATGTGGGTGTAGAGGCGTTGGTGAACAATCCTCTCCTGAACCTTGCTGACAACGCTTAGGAGCGAGATTGGCCTATAATTGGTGACCTCTGCACGAGAGGCTTTCTTGTGTAGAGGACTGATAGTGGCGTCGCGCCAGTCCTGTGGCTGCTCGCCTCGCGAGAAGGACTCGTTGAAAAGTGTTGCGAGGGAGCACGATATTTCGTCTGCAGTGATCTTGAGCAATTTCGTCGGGATGCCATCGTACCCGGCCGACTTCCGGAAATCAAGAGCGGAAAGGAGTTTTCTGACCTCCTCCTGGGTGGTGATGATTTCCTTCAGTTCGCTTCCGATGATGCGCGACACGCCAATCTCTGGCACGGCTTCAGTTGGTCCGGAGACGGACTTCTGGCTTTCCGAAATGAAAAAATTGTTAAACGCTTCCGCCTTTTCTCCATCTGATCTAGCCACTGTTTCGTTCGCTGTAATAGGTGGAAGCTCCTTTTTCGGGGACGACCGCAGTGATTTCATTAACTTGTACAGGTTTCGCTGCGGGACACCAGTTACGTCGCCTTGCGCGGTAGTGGATACGAAGGCGGATTTAGCTTCTCTCAGTAGTGTTGTGGTCCTATTGCGTTGAGTAACGAATGTGAGCCAGTTCTCCGCGCTGCGAGTTCTGAGATACTGACGGTAGAGCTGATGCTTGAGTTTAAAGGGGAAGTATACCCTAAAATCAAATTTTCACCAGTTGTAGTCTTCGGGGTGCTGAGTCGAATGGTCTTGGTCCGAGGAAGCTGAGACGCTCCCTTCCTACTTGAATCCCAATCGAACTCGCGCACTTCCACCGAAACTGGGTGACTGCGCCCTACTAGATGGGGATTTGTATGCAAAATGTCACTAAAAGCGCCATTTCGTTCTTATAAAAGCACGGATGACCGCGATTGGCCCATATGTTGTAGTCTTTTGGACGCTGAGTCGACTGGTTTTGGTTCGAAAAGGCTGCGATGCAGCGTTCCTCCTTTATTCCCAATCGAACATGGTTGAACAAGCGGTCACGTGCTCCTGCGTACACCAGTCAGCTGGTCACCGTGCCTGCAGGGTACAACTTACTAGCCTGTTTGACCTTTTTTGGGTGCAGTCCTGTCACTCGAGTTGAACTCGAGTTGAACCTTGGTGTGAAAGTTCTCGCCTGCTGGCGCGGTGACCAGGTGATTTGGGCACCCAGGAGCACGTGACCGCTTGTTCAACCATGTTCGATTGGGAATAAAGGAGGAACGCTGCATCGCAGCCTTTTCGGACCAAAACCAGTCGACTCAGCGTCCAAAAGACTACAACATATGGGCCAATCGCGGTCATCCGTGCTTTTATAAGAACGAAATGGCGCTTTTAGTGACATTTTGCATACAAATCCCCATCTAGTAGGGCGCAGTCACCCAGTTTCGGTGGAAGTGCGCGAGTTCGATTGGGATTCAAGTAGGAAGGGAGCGTCGCAGCTTTCTCGGACCAAGACCATTCGACTCAGCACCCAGAAGACTACAACTGGTGAAAATTTGATTTTAGGGTATACTTCCCCTTTAATGCTGCAAAGAAGCGGTTGAGTCATCCATGGTCGCCGACCTGGGCATGTCTGGTGTGTACGTCGTGGTGCGAAGTTAGTACAGTACAAGTGTGCTGTGTTGATAAGCGAGTCATGCCAATGCGACCAGAGGTCTGTCATTGATAACTGCGGGATTTCCTCAGCTGGTGGCAAAAGCTGCATTGAGCTCAGGGCTTCTTTCAGTGCGACGACGCGATCAGGGTCCCAGTTCCAGCGCCAAGCTTCGACGTTTTGCTGGGGTGTTGGTGCTTGTGGTGGGCATGCAAGGGACACATTTCCTCCGATGAGTACATGATCTGACGCTCCGACAGGGGGATACGATGTGACAGATAGGTCTTCTTCTGGTACGTTGGAGATGACAACGTCGAGGCAGGACTTCAAGTTGCCTCTGGAAATACAGGTCGGAAAAGACACGTGCTGGTTTAATCTTGCAGTGTCTAGTAGGTAGCTCAGCATTCTTTGCTGGACGTCCCCTCCGTGGTCGAGTGGATCGTGCGTGTTGTGGAATAAGGTGTAGCGGTGCGTGTTGTCGGATGCGTGCGTCCAGATGTTGAAGAGTCCTACCTACATATCGGCTCTCACATAATCATTGCCGAGGTAGTACTCTTCCCGGGGAGTCAACCTGTTATATAGTACTCTTCGCCAGGGGGTCAATGTACTATATAGCAGATTGCCCGGGGGGACAAATTCTGGGGAGTAACTATACTATGTTACACCGACACTCGAAGTGATAAATCAACTAACTTGGAACTTGGAGCTGGAACTAATTACTTGGAGCGGAGAAGCTTGAAAGTATACTTGTGAAGACAAACACTTTCAAGATGTTCGTAATGATCAGCCTGAAGTGTGTCCTTTTCACGAGTATTATCGCATTTTTGTCTCAGAGGAAACTGACTACTGCTACTCCTACATCTATTTTTACTCTAGTTATGTCACGTGTCATGTACACAACACTGCACTGCATGACTCTTGAGTCTTGTCACTCCCTTGCTTCAAATGCAAGAGCGGAGAAGCTGCAGTAGGGCAGGTACAAAAATGTACTTGTTGAGGTCTGCTTCCCTTGGCCTTGTGTACGTTTCGCCTGGAGAAACAGGACCAGCTGCAAGGTCGGTTGGCGTTTCTGGTCTCCCCACAGACGTTCAAGACAGTAGTGAGTTTTAAAATAGTTTTGGAGAAGCGAGACAAATATTTAGTCCTCGTCGGAGATGTTGTCCAAGGCAAGGACTTCGAAAATTTTTTAATGGTTTAATAGTGCACATGTATATATGTGCGGCGCGATGCTACGACTGCTGTTTTTGACCGCATAATTATTCTGGCAGCTCGTTAGCCGTCACCTGGCAACAAGCACGTGCCATGTCTGAAAGTCAAATCATACGCGACATACAATACATAACATACCGGTACCTGTCTGTGTTAGTGTGTATCCGGATATCCCCGGTGCCTGGCTTCATAATAATTATTGGCCTCCACGCCGGCCGGGAAGCCGAATGGTCCGCGCGAAGACGGAACTCGTTTTGCTTCTACCACTACTAGTACTAGTTCTACAGCCGAGCGGTAATGCAGTGGACGAACACGATCGATGTTTCGGACGTAGATTCTACGTGGTTGCGGTCCTAGTTGCGGAGGTACTACCCTACGTTGTCCCAGGTAAGAGCGACGGAGTTCACTAGGATAGGTGAAGTGTGAGAAATGATGTGCGTAAAGAACTACTTGTAGAGGGGACGGCTCGATACCGGGACGTTTTGACAGCCAAATTTGTATAGACCCAAACCGATCATCAGCGTTGATTTTTCACTCGAAATATGTTTGTGGAAGGAAACTGGCATGTTGAAGTTTGCTCTGGGGCCAGAGTCAATCGAACTGAGCCACTCCTTTGTGTTGACCCATTGCCTCCAAATTAGTTGCCCAATTTTTCGCTTCAAAAAAGTTCAAATCAGAGGTGGCTCCAAACCGGACACGTTTTAGAGTGCACGTCAAATTCACTCTGGGTCTGAAATTAGGTAATTGCTATCGCTCCACGACGGCCAGTACAGAGTAACAATAAGCCTTGTGTGTGCTTCCATTAGTTTTGATTGGTATGCGGTGCTTTATTGGCGAGAGGCGAGCCGCTGTTTACCTGCGACAAGAAGTTGATTTTTCGAAAGTCGTAAAACTCAAGTCGCAGTGCGAAGCAACACGTCAAAAACTCACCTGCTTGATATGGCGCTTCTGGTCATCGCAGAGCCATGAAATTTTGGCTCGGAGTATAACACATCGTAGTCTCACTGTGACATATGTTTTCTAATCAAAATACCAAGAGAGAAAGTGAATATTGAGTCCGTTCCGGTTTGCAACCGGTGTCCTATTTGAAACCGTCCCCTCTACAATGTCCTGTAGTCCGTCTTACTAAACACCCGGCATCTCGCTGGAATCTGCCTCAGCTGGATAGCCACTGACGAGGTTTTCGTGCAACTGTGTCTGGCAACAAATTAATTGATTTTTGAAGATGGACTCAACACTTGCCGGCAACCAGGATTCTAGGCTTATGCCGCGGTCACACCGAGCTCGATTCAGCCGTTCAGCCGAAAAAAGCGCTTGTTTAGGCCGCGGTCACACCGAGCTCGATTCAGCCGTTCAGCCGAAAAAAGCGCTTGTTTACGTCACTATTACCATGGAAATGGCTGAAAAATGTCCTACAAGCAACTTTCAGCCGTGGCTGACGCTCAGCCGGTTTTTTCGGCTTGTTTCAGCCACAGCTTGTACAAGCGGCTGAAAGCCGAAATTCAAAAAATAATTTGAGTGCGCTTGGAGCACATGCACACCATGTAGCTAGTTGACATGATGAACTGATATTGATGTTCTTTCTTGTGTCCGTGGAACCGTGCTATCCCTGTGCCTTTGGTTTTGACCTTGAGTCTGTCTATCCAACTACACTGTATTCAGTTTGATTTGGATTTTGTCCGACGACCATGGATTTCTGCCGCTGTGCCTCTAGACTGCTGCGTAGATTGTTGGAGCTGTGGTTTGAGGCCAAGACAAGGCACCACACTCACAACCGAATTCATGAAGAAAGCCGGGTACGAAGAAGAGAGTGGATTGCAACTGAGTTGAAGAACGGCAACCGGCGGGGCAGAAAGCTTGACATCAGGAAACACAACCCGAACCATCGCGTCCATGCACACCGAACAAAAAAAAGGAGCACGACTTCATAATTCAGAATCCGGGCTTCCTTTGCTTCTTCATCAAAACTGAACACTAGAACAAGTACTGTTGTTGTAGATCGCTAACGTTCTGCTTTCCGGTTTCTTGCAAACATTGGTGTGTTTCGAGATATTCAAAATTTGGCGGGTAAGAAAAACAAGCCATTCAAGCTTGCACACAAGGTCTGGTGTGAACGCGTCACAGGGACCACGCAAGCCAGCTGAGCGCCAGCAATAACAAGCCCAAAGTGGCTTGTTTCAGTGTGACCGGGGCCTTAGATGAGTCAGAGCACGGGCAGGTTGCGATACATGCACTAGGCTTCGTCTTCTGATTCATTCATTATAAAGCTGTGTCCATAACTTGTGTGTCCCACCAGACTTCAACTCTAAATCCCCACACGCCCCCTTTTGCTTCTCATTCAACTACATGTCTCACCTCACATCCCATTGCCTGTATCAATGCCCGCTCACTTAGGAACAAATGTGCCGAACTGGTAGATGTCTGTGCCACTCATTCACCATCTATACTTTGCCTTTCAGACTTGGCTGTCTCCTAACATTCCTCTTGCCGTCCCTGGCTACTCCATTTTCAGACGTGATCGTCCAGCAGAGGATAATCGAGTAGTTGCAACTGACGCCCGGGCATATGGAGGCGTTGCCATTCTTGCTAAATCAGGGATGTTTACGTCGCTACGCCACCGTACTGACCTCCATATTCCAGGTTTTGAAGCCACGTGGGTGGAAGCAAGGGTTTCACAGGGCTCGTCCTCCAACTGTCTGATTGTTGGCGCTGTTTACCGCCCCCCAAACAATAGCTCTGCACAGGTGGACTCTTTCATGACTTCCCTCCAACAATGTCTGTCACGGGTTCGAACACTGTCCACTTCCATCCTAGTCATGGGTGATTTCAATGCGAAGTCTGCCGCTTGGTATGGCTCTGCTACCGACAATCCGGGCCATCAACTTTCATGTGTTCTGAATATGTATGCACTAACCCAACACGTGAAGTTTGCAACCCATAGTGCATTGGGCTCCGCTGGCACTGCTCTAGATTTGATCATAAGCGATCGACCTGACAATGTATTCTCCCTCTGCCCTGAGGCCCCGCTTGGGCAGTCCGACCATTCTATTGTGCTTGGTAGATTGACCCTCCCCCGTACTCTAGTATCACCGATATCCACGCCCTCTCGAACTCCAAGTAGTACCTCAACACCCATCCCGAACTTTCGCCAATTTGACCTCTCCTGACTGACCTCGGATTCTGCTTCGGATATCCAAGCTGCTATTGCCAATGTTGATTGGCCTCTAGTTCTACGTGTCCAAGATCAAAATGTGGATACTACCCTGATAGCTTTCTACCACGCTTTATTTAGTGTATGCTCCTCCTTCTTGCCAGCGTAAGTCCAATCATCACGTCCAGGCCGCAATAAAGTTAATTCCCCGTGGCTCACTCCGGCACTAAGAATTCAGTTAAAGCTCAAGCGAGACTCCTACAGCCTGTACAAGAAGTACCCCACTCCTGACAACCTCACCCATTACAAATCTGAGCGGAACAAGGCCCAGAATATGTCTCGCAAAGCCCATCATGAGTTTATCTCCTCATTGACGTCCCTCAGCTCAGCCCACGGCAACCTTCCAGCACCCAACCTTTTTCAGTTTGTGCGTCAAGCATGATCAGGTACTACTGCCTCTTCGGATGGTCATGGCGTAGCCCAGCTCTGTGAGGAGAATACTGTTCATACGGATCCGGTTGCCATTGCTGACGCGCTAAATACGCAGTTCGTAAACTTCGGGACCAAAGATGATCCTTCTTGGTCTGTGCTTGACTTCCCACAACACCACATACCAGGCTCCACTTACCTCTGTTTTCACAACCCCCTCCCGCATCAAGAAATATATTAGTCAATTAAAGCTGAAGAAGGCCACGGGCGTTGATGGCATCAGTCATGAGCTTCTTCGACTTCTTTCTCCAGCGATCGCGTACCCCCTTAGTCTCCTTTTCAACATGACATTTTCCACTGGCGTATTTCCCTCCCTCTGGAAGCACTCGATAGTCACACCCATCTATAAGAACAAGGGCTCGCGCTTAAGTGCAACCAACTACCGGCCTATTTCTCTTTTATCAACTATATCCAAACTTTGTGAACGTGTTGTCTTTGATCATGTCTATCCTCATGTGAACCCTCTCCTCAGCCCTTCCCTGTCCGATTTTCGTCGCGGGGACTCCACGTCTTGGCAGCTGTTGCGTTTGGTACAGGCATTACATACATCCAAGGACACTCGACAATTTAGCTTGCTCTGCTTCTTTGATCTTAGCAAGGCCTTCGATTCGGTATGGACTAGAGGTCTACTCTGTAAGCTAAGAGCATTCGGGCTTTCTGGGAACGTTTACAATTGGCTCACTAGCTACTTGATTGGCGGCAGCCAGTGTGTTCGTGTCAGGGGACATCTGTCTCGCCCAGCCACAGTAGAGTCTGGTGTCCCCCAAGGTTCTATATTAGGTCCTCTGCTTTTCATCATTTATGTAAACGATCTGGCCTCCCTTCCACATACCTACCTCTACGCAGATGATACAGCACTGCATGTTTCCTCCTCTTCACTTTCAGCTGCATCTGTCACATTGCAGACCCACACCAACAAAGTTGTCAATTGGATGACGCTCTGGAAGCTGAAACCGAACGCATCTAAAACCGCTATTCTCTGCTTTCCTCCTGGTCCCAATAGTGACTTGCCTGTATTAAGTCCCTCGCCTTTCACGTTCCCTGATGACCGTACCTGTCTCTCAATAGTCTATCAGCACAAACACCTTGGGATTATCCTGGATCAGCCGATCTGTCCATTGATCCCCACATTACGTACCTGGAGAAACGTGCAAGTTCTATTGTTGGCTTCCTCTCCTCTCACTTATCTCATTTCCCCCGTGATTGCCGTTTAATGCTGTATAAATGCTATGTTCTGCCTGTATTTGACTACTGTTCCTCCATTTGGGCTGGCATCAGCACATCGCTCACGAATCGTCTCGAACTGTCACACATCGTCACTTAATTCGCGCTGTCTTTGCTATTCCCCGTTTGACGTTCTCTCATACTGTCTATGCTATCGCATCCAGCTGCCCTCTCTCTAACAGGCTCAGACTTTCATCATGTAAACCAATTCATAAAATTCGTCTTGGTCTTGCCCCACCTCATGTTTCATCCCAGCTTAACTGGTTTCATCAGTCCTCAGCTACCCGAAACTCTCTCTGCTTCCCTATCTCTCGCACAGCCACTCTTCTGAAGTCTCCTCTATTTTTGGCATATACACATTGGTCGTTGCTGTCACAGGACCTCAAGACTTGCCAAAGACTTTCCACTTTTGCTACTTTACTTCGCTAGGTATTCACTTGTTCTGGGCCACTGTGTAATTCGTATCTCTTGAGTTATCTTCTTTCTTTCTTCTTTCTTATACATGTATGTCTACTACTTTTCTTTTGTTGATTTGGCCGTGGTTGGCTATCACCCCTCTCTCATTCAATATTGGCATTACTTGCCACGAGATGATGATACAATAATAATAATAATAACCCATAACTTACCTTCATTTTAAAGTATTATCCGCCTCCGACCTCTTTAAAAAAAATAATAATAATAATAATAATAACTGGCGCGTGTACACCGATGGTTTGCGGTTCATGCGTGCCCAAACGCGTGTTCAGTGCAGGCTTTCACAGCCAATTGGAGTGGTAGATTACCATGATTGATTGATTTTTATTGAGTCCATAACCCCAATGGCCAGGAAAGTAAGGTCTTAAGTCAAAGTTTCACCACTGTTGTAGTCTTCTGGGTCGAAAAAAAGTCGAATGGCCTTGGTCCGAGGAAGCCGAGATGCTCCCTTCTTCTCGATCGAACTCGCGCACTGGGTGACTGCGCCCTACTACATTTGTAGAAAGGGATTTGTGCAGAAAAAAATACTTTTAAACTTCTTATAGAAGCACGGCTGAACGTGAAACTCCCAGAGCCTGTAGCATTCTGGATGAAAATCTTGGTATGAGGAGGCTGCGATACAGTGTTCGGCCCTGAACGCGGTCGAATATGGTCCCATACCTATGCGCTGTACACCCGTGGCAATGCAAATTAGTACTGCTTGCACCTTCAATTGCAAGTACTGTTACAGGATAAGTCTAGTCGCAAGACACTATACTAGTATTTGATGGCCCAGAGATTATCTCCTTTCAAGGACGGACCTGTATCGGGTAACAGAATATTCACGGACTGGGTGATGGTGTGATTTTTTGATTTATGCCCTTTTCTGCTCTCACTGTCTATACATTTGTCTATGTATGCATAACAGTACAGTAGTCAAAAAGCAATGGTAAACCAGATGTAACTCCGAGTTTGGTCAGCGGCTCCTGCACCCACCCGACAACTAAATTTGACTTGGGACTCACTGGGGGTAAAGACCAGTTGTTAGGGAGACAGCGTTAGGAGGTCGGTTGCACACAATATAGGTGTAACAAGCTTGCATTTCTCTTCCTCCTTCCCAGTTCAAATGCCGGAATACTATTCTGCTGCTGTTTCTGGGGTTTTATTGCAGCCTCTTCCTGGAAAAGGTGCGCTAACTCTCTGCTTCACCGCCTCCAAGATTTGGAGTAGAAAGCATGCAACAGACGCGGTTTGTACCACTGGTGTCTCTTATCTGCATTGCTACTGTAATGTTCATCTTCTGGACATCACGAGTCCTCTCGAAATGTTCGCAGCGCTCAACGCTCGCGATGGTCAGAGAGCGAAGCAAAGTAAGAGAACAGCGCATTGCCGCCGAGGAGACTGTGTCTGATTCACTGGAAGAATCGCCATGCTTCTCAGTTTGGGAGCTTCTTAACTCCGAGTATGAGCTGGTAAGGTGAAGTGATTATTGTTTTGTAATCGGGTTTTTTTTAGGCTTTGTCTTTTTTGACTATGATTCGAGTTTAAAAATAAAGGGTTATGTTCGGGAGGGAACATTTGCGGATCCTAGTGGATTGCATTGGTGCCGAGGAGTATGTCACAAGCCGCTTTTAGGTGTTTACTATATGGCGCGCTGTCATTGTATTGGTTCATTGGATCCCATGCAGACTCACTGCCGCAAGCAGTTTTTCATTGGTCTGGCCATACCATAGCCTTTCGTCCTTCTTGTATGATAATATACTGGGTACACATGACCTCCTCAGAAGTAAAACATGTGTTGATGACCAACGCGTTAGTCCGGCGATAACCCGTGACCAACCGGACCGGATCCGACGCGCCTGCCATGTGCTGCACTTGTTACATTTCAACACTACGCTTGATGCAGTGATAGCAGTGTTAGGCCTCATTTACACGACAACGATTGAAACACGTTTTCATTCCGTGTTTGAAACGTTTTTGCTGTGTACACGAAAATGATCAGCTTTTTGGGTGTTTAAATACTCGCTCATACTTTTTCTTATTTCCCGCCACACCATTTTGGCATTTCCCCACACCATTTTGGCATTTCCCCACACCATTCTGGCATTTCCATGGCAGCGAAACGTTTTTGCCGTGTACACGAGAACGGAACGAAAATGATTGAAAAACACGTTGAAGGCCGTTTTTGCTTTGAAACGTGTTTGAAACGTTTGGCAGCATTGTCGTGTAAACGCTCTTATCAAAATATGTGGAAGCGTGTTCTTTTGAAAAATGTTTTTCAATCATTGTCGTGTAAACGAGGCCTTAATACACTGTATACGTGTTTGTGACTTGGTCAATGTGCTATGCCCAGCCTCTCTTAACACAAACTGATCCGTGGCGTTGTTCACCGTAGAGATTATATCTTGTGAACGATGACACCAATGTCGTGTTCTAACCATGTAGGGTGACAATGCACAGTTCTCAGATAATAATAATAATAATAATAATAATAATATTGACTGATTTGAGGGAAAGAGACAAACGGGAAAAGTCTGAAGAAAAAATTGACTGTCACCACCAGGACTCGAACCAGGGACCCTCGCTTGTAGCCAGCGATGCTCTAACCACTGAGCTATGGTGTAGTCGTCATCCCAGCAGAGGCCGTTCAACATTTTCTTCAGACTTCGTAACTCACACTTCCTGTGAATCCACACAGGCGGGTGGGACGCAGCCCTCACTGTAACCCACACACTTCACGTACAAACTAGCACGCGGGGAGCCCCAAGTCATAAAATATTGACTGATTTGAGGGAAAGAGACAAACGGGAAAAGTCTGAAGAAAAAATTGACTGTCACCACCAGGACTCGAACCAGGGACCCTCGCTTGTAGCCAGCGATGCTAATAATAATAATAATAATACCACAGCACGCGTAATAATATAATTATGTGGGTATAATTATACGTTCCGCTTCTGTCCTATCTCCTATGATCAAATTCCATTATCAAGGTAATTATTAACACGGCGCACTGATGACCTGTGACGCCAGATCATGGATTGTCGGCCAGATTTCTCCATGTAGGCTTGTCCAGAGCGATGGCCCTCACATTCCCCAGCTGACTGCTGCGCTTCAAGTCGATGTTCCTCCTCTGTAAGTCGCTTGTGATGCGCGTCGCAATGGATGTCCTTGGACGTCCACGCCCAGCCTTGGCATCTCCCGCAAAATAGCCCGTCAGCGCGATCCATGGCGGCGCATCCCTGTCCATACGGAGAATATGGCCGGCTAGCTGCCATCTTCTCCTGTCCACGATGTCAGATAGTGGTTCCGTGTTGCACCTCTCATACAGCTCAGTATTTGATATCCTGGCTGGGTAGACTATGCCAATGAGCCGTCGGAGCTGCTTCCGGTGGAAAACGTTAAGCGATTCTGCTTGTGCTGCCGTGAGCCCCCATGCGCCGCAGTTATACAAAAGAACGGGCAGAACCAGGGCATTATACAGGCGGATGCGCCTCTGCTCACTGACCTTCCCACGCCTCAGCCAGAGGCTATACATCCTGCCGTATGCACTCGAAGCGAGGTCTTTCCTCCGCTCCAGGTCCTCACTGTCGCCAATGAGGGACCCTAGCTGCCTGCTGGACCGCCAGGAGTCTGAAGTTGATGTCAGATGCAAGAATTCGGTCTTGGTCTCGTTTACTGTAAAGGACCAATCCCCGAGTTCTGCGCTAATGATGGGGAGGCTTCGCTTCAGCCACTCCTCACTGGTTGAGTACAATGTCACATCATCGGCGTAACCTGTTTCTCTGGGTATGTGACGGTCGGCGAAAGGGCGTTCGGGAAGGTTTGCTCTCACTTGGCGCAGTGCTGCCTCCAGGTAACAAATAAAAAGAACAGGGCTCAGGCCATCTCCCTGGGGGGTGCCGATGGTGCTGAGAAACGGATTGGCAGTTGCCTTTCCTACTTTCACTGATATTTGTGTGTGGAACAGTAGGTGCTGGATCATGCGCACTTCATCGGGGCCAGTCACTAATGCCATGACGTCTAACAGTTTGGTGCGATCGATCGTGTCGAACGCACGGGACATGTCAATCCCCAGCATGTGGCATTCCCAGTTGTATCGAGTCGCCTTGGCCGCAATCCAGCGCTGTGTCCATACCACATCTGTTGTACTTCGGCCTTGTCTGAAGCCAGATTGAGTTGGACCAACATAACGAGCAACGTCCTTTGCGATTCGGCAGAGCACTACAAGGGAGAAAACTTTTCGGATGGTGTTCAGGAGGACAATGGGACGCAGGCTAGTCACGGGTCCTCTAGGTTTTTTTGGTTTTTGTAAAGGAATCAGTGTGCCAAGTCCGATGAACGATGACATGTCGGCACCCTCTGCTACGCTTTGGTTGATGATGTCTGCCGCTACGATGGATAGCTGTGATGTTCCATACTTCAGTAATTCTCCAGGGACTTTGTCCGGCCCACAAGCCTTTCCGTTTTTGAGTCGTTTCATCGCTGTTTCCACCTCCGCTGGAGACACTGCCACACTTAGCCGGTGAGGGACTGGCTTCTGTTCTCAGAGCAGCTCCATATTTGTGCGCTGCTCCTGATAGGCTGATAGATAGAAAAATCAACTTGTCTTTCTGCAGTCATAGCAAAATCAGTGACTTGTGTCATGACCCGGATCAGACTCGTCGCGAAAGCGATCACGCATTGAGTTCAGCAGCCAAAGCTAGACTCCGAATTATTCCTGAGTTCTGTAAGAACCATGATTAGTCCTGCGAAGGATTTTGGCGCTTTCGTTAGTTGAGCAATCATGGCTTACAACTCGTGGCCTAGAGCCACCAAGTGTTGTCGTGCGTCAGTAACATCTTCCGTACAAGTCGCCAGCTTTGTACTCACTACTCTGAGCTTGAGGAAGCCACACTTAGTCCTGCAAGGGAGCTGACACCCCTAGGCCCTGTAAGTCGAGCAAGTGTGACGCTTTTTCTCGTGTCGTACGACGCAAAGGGTCGACAGTATTCATACTCTAGACTCCGGCCCGCTGACGGGAACACGGCATTGCCGTCTTGCACCCTACGGGGACCTGGATTGAGAGGGAAGAGCCTGCGGGCGCGAAGGCGACTAGTCGGCAACTGTGTCAGCTCTATTCACCGTACGACAAGCGGCTGTTTTGGATTGCACCTGGATGAGCAAGCTCCCCTTGTACTATGAATATATTACGTGTTGAACACGTTATCACCTGGGTGAGCGAGCTCCCCTTGTATTGCAATCTTGACACTTTAATTATTATGATTATTATTACTGAAACAATGCGATATTATATTAACAAAAATCACATAAAATAAATAGCCTCCGTGATGCAACAAATAAAGTATCTTCCTACCGCTTCCCTTCAACCCTCTTCTACACTCAGGTGTGAGAATTGAAACAGGTGAGCTACTTATCTGCTTGATGTCGACTATATTGGTCGACGGCCTGGTGCCACTAGATGGATCACTGGCCATGACACTTGTAATGAAATCGGAATTGTCATTCTCTCCTTCTCGTTGCTCCAGATGCACATTCCATCTTTTTCCTATGATGAGAGTATCTACATATTCAGTACAGCTATGTCAGTTAGGTGAGGATGCCTTAAATTTGATAGCTTGCATGCCGTCCTACCGGTAGGACCCAAGAAATCGCGCTGCAAACGTGCTTTTGGTTGAGAATTTTCTTGAAACGTTTGTTGATGTGAGGTCTTTATAAGGCAAAGTAATGGCGCAAAATGCAAGACTATGTCCAGAGCATTGCATATGTGCTGTTTTATCAATTGTCAAAATGGCCGCACATGAGTCCTGTCGGAGCACTAGCAACTCTGTCCAAAGTGAATTTTGACCATGGCACATCAATCGTGGTGAGGTCCTAATGTTTTTCTCAGCCTACCATGGCCGTGGTATGCAAAATTCCATACTCCGTTGCCATGGTTACCGTGGGCTATAGGGCTTGAAAGTAATGACGTCAAAAACGGCAAGGGAGTAGAAAGTTGACATCAGATTTCTATTTTGGATCCACTAAGGTGTGACTTTGCTATTGCCTAAGTATGTGGGTGCATAGCAACCCACGCATGTCGCATGCAGGTGTGACTTTTATTTCGCCACCAGTTGTCACCCCCCCCCCCCACTAGCCAAATCAGTCAGTTTCACTGGCTACATCACCTTCCTGTGAGTAAGACCGCTTGAAATGTGCTTGGATCCATACAAAAACTGGATCCAAGTGGATCCAGTTTTTGAATTTTTGAAATTGTTGCTATGCTGTGACGTAGCACTTTCAAGCCCTATTGCCATGGATTACTGTAATATGCCTTGTACGATCACGTCTAAAATTTGTGGACTCCTTCCCTAGCTCCATAGAAACAGTTTAGGGTAAAGATTTAGGTCAATGTTAGAACAGAGGCCGTGCAGCATGTCTGTGTATGATGGTCCTATCGGTAGGACCGAGGTCTATGCAAGCTATCATTTTAATCTTGAACCATTGGTGAATTTCTACATTTCTATACACATTCACAATACATGTACATGTTGTTACGTGTCCCATTACTACGGTTGTGCGATGTGAAGTCCGACCCAGAATGCAAAGCTGGTGGAGCCCTGAACCAGTTGTCATTACGTCACTGCATTTGTTCTTGTGTACATCGAGCAGCATTCACACCACATCCAGGGTGTTGAGGGCCGTGCAAGTAGTTGAGAGCGCTAAGTATACTTTTTGGGTGCCGGGGATCAGTGACAAACCTGCAATATGTATCTAATATTGACTGAGTACAAGGTCAATATAGGAAATAAAAGCCGAGTAAAAGACCGAGGCGAAGCCGAGGTCTTTTACGAGGTTTTTATTTCCTATACTGACCAAGTACGAAGTCAATATTAGATTTATCACGACAAACAGTCCGTATTTCAAATTCCAGAACGATAACCTCATGAATCCCGGTTTTATGATTGCACAACCGTTGCACCACCACCTACTCGTGCAGTGACAATGCTGCACTAGGCACCGTTCAACTGCGCAACCCCTAAAAATAGTAAGCAGTCAAATATAAGCAGTCAATATAGCCCTAAGGAGTGAAATATGCAGGAATATTTGACTGCTTGGGTATAGCGAAAATCAATGGGAGTCAATACTAAGGGAGGATAAATGGATAATACTTGTAGTCGTAGCACAGGGTTCTAGCTAGGAAAACCTGCGGGATGAGTGTGGGTGTGAGGGTGACGTCGAAACTGCGTTTGCCTCTCGTATAGTGATGTGATTTTTGATGGCAACCGAATATTATATGGTTAGGGTGTGTCGGGGACTTTATCTGAGGCCCGTTCTGCATTACTCGATGACGAATGAGTGTTGTCATGACTACCTAGGCTGCTTAGACAAATTTCCTTACTGACAGTGTTTATGAGACAGCTCGTGTATTATGTGGCTTTTCCAGGGAGCAGAGCGTGTACATTATGCTTCCAAATACAGCAGCAGAGCAGTGGCCAATGAAACATAATTTCAAAAGTGAGTGCATTCTTTCTAACGATAGAGCTTGGAAGCTCAGGGCCCTCCGCTATGCTTTTTTGCCTTGATGACCTAGGCAAAAAAAGCATAGGGATGTTATAAAATTTTCATTTCACCTATTTTTTTAAGACATAACCTGGGATTCGAACCCGCACTATCGCCCTGCATGCATCCCCCGATACACTTCGCATACATACTAATTCTTCCAAGTTGCTTCACGTTATGATCTTGCATTTGAAAGCCCTATTTGAATATTGTGGCCAGCTCTTTGTAGCCAGCCGTCTTTGATGGTTTGGTATGGTACGGGACAGGTATGGTCGAGGGTAATACGACACCGTCTACCACCTTGATGGCCTTGGCTAAAAAAAGCATAGGGATGTTATAAAATTTTCATTTCGTCAATTTTTTTCCAGGCATAACCTGGGATTCAAACCCGCACTATCGCCCTACATGCATTCGGATGATTCCCCGATACACTTCGCATTCATACTCATTCTTCCAAGTTGCTTCACGTTATGATCTTGCATTCCAGTACCCCATAACTGCGGGCGTTCCCCAAGGCAGCATACTCGGCCCGACACTGCTTTTACTGTACGTAAATGATGCACCCTCTGTTCTGGTGGATGATGCCCAGCTGGAGGCGTACGCAGATGACACCACACTTTACTCCATTGTGTCGAATGGCAGCGCGGCAGGTGCAGGGCACTCACTGCAACTGTCAATCGATCGGCTGCATAACTGGGGCCAGAAATGGAAGATTGCATTTGAGCCCACCAAGTCCCAGGCAATGACTGCAACGCTCCGAAGAGCTGACTTGCACCTTCCGCCAATCATGTTTGGCGGAATACAAGTCCCCAAGGCAAACTCGATCACCCTCCTAGGCGTCCTCTTTGACCAGAAGCTGTCTTTTGGGGAGCACCTCCGGTCTGTTGCAACCCGGGCAAGGCAGCGACTTGGTCTTTTGCACCGGTCAGCTCATCTTCTCCCTCTGGCTGGGCGCATAACAGTGTACAAAGCATTCGTTCGTCCGCTGCTGGAAGACGCCCCACTTATCTGGATTGGAGCGTCATCCAGCCACCTCAGCCGACTGGACCGAGTCCAGCACAGGGCCCTCGGAATCATCGGTCCGGGAGCAATCCTGCCTAGTCTGGCAATCAGACGGACAGTAGCTGCCCTAGCTTGTTTATACAAGCTACAAGTAATTACGGGCCCACCTCAACTTCTCGCGGTTCTGCCAGCTCGCCGTCAGCAGTCGGCCAACCCGCGAACCCGGAGCGACCATGCCAGCGCTGCTGGCCACCGGTTTCAACTGGACGCCAGCCTGCCAGCCTCTACCCCGTTAGTCCTGAAGCGATCATTTCCCCACTGTGTGCTCCACCAGTGGAATGCATTGCCCTGTGATCTGCTCCTGCATCCTCCCCATCGCAGCCGAATGCAGGCATTCAAGACGCAGGTATACCGCTACCTGCGCGCCGAGAACTGGATGTGGGCTACTGACTCAGTCTAAACTCAGTATCTACATGTAGGTATTGCTCTCTTTTTCCTTGTTTTCTCTACTCTCTGTCTCTCTCTCTGTCTCTCTCTGTCTCTCTCTCTGTCTCTCTCTCTGTCTCTCTCTCTCTCTCTCTCTCTCTCTCTCTCTCTCTCTCTCTCCTCTCTCTCTCTCTCTCTCTCTCTCTCTCTCTCTCTCTCTCTCTCTCTCTCTCTCTCTCTCTCTGTCTCTGTCTCTGTCTCTGTCTCTGTCTCTGTCTCTGTCTCTGTCTCTGTCTCTGTCTCTGTCTCTGTCTCTGTCTCTGTCTCTCTCTGTCTCTCTCTCTCTCTCTCTCTCTCTCTCTCTCTCTCTCTCTCTCTCTCTCTCTCTCTCTCTCTCTCTCTCTCTCTCTCTCTCTCTCTCTCTCTCTCTCTCTCTCTCTCTCTCTCTCTCTGTCTCTCTGTCTCTGTGTGTGTGTCTCTCTTTCTCTCTCTCTCTCTCTCTCTCTCTCTCTCTTCTCTCTCTCTCTCTTCTCTCTCTCTCTCTCTCTCTCTCTCTCTCTCTCTCTCTCTCTCTCTCTCTCTCTCTCTCTCTCTCTCTCTCTCTCTCTCTCTCTCTCTCTCTCTCTCTCTCTCTCTCTCTCTCTCTCTGTCTCTCTGTCTCTGTGTGTGTGTGTGTGTCTCTCTCTTTCTCTCTCTCTCTCTCTCTCTCTCTCTCTCTCTTTCTCTCTCTCTCTTTCTCTCTCTCTCTCTCTCTCTCTCTCTCTCTCTCTCTCTCTCTCTCTCTCTCTCTCTCTCTCCACACTATACTTTTCGCTATATTTTTTTTTCATCTTTTTTGTTTCTCTTCTTCTCCCGATTTTCTGATGCGTGAAGTAGGCGCGGATGCCGAGACCATTGGTCGGCGGAGCCTGCAGCACCTCATCACCACCGCTGCGTTGCATTTGCAGCCCCATTCAGTCAATGTCTTGTTAGTCTGTTGTTTTGTCATTTCCTGCTTCTTTCTTCTTTTACGAATTGGGTGCGTGGTTTCAAGTAAAAAAATAAAAATAAAAAGATTTGGAAGCCCTATTTGAATATTGTGACCAGCTTGTTGTGGCCAGCTGTCTATGATGGTACGGAACGGTACGGGACAGATACGGGATAGCGCCAGGCGTGACACAAACAAACACCAAATTAAAGCTGTGTGGACCCTGGCTAGCGCCAGACGTTACTGAAGTAACATCTTCTGCATAGCTACGGGAAGAAAGTATAATACTGTACCTGATAGGATAGATGCAAGTGGCAGCGGAAGGATTTTTTTCCAGCCGTGCTTGATGTGTATGGTGACGTGACGTCATGTCACCATACACATCAGAGGGAAACATCAGGGTTCTAGCCAAAGGGACAGAAGTCCACAGAGCTCATCATGGCTGTTATAGTGAACACACGAGGTCGGGCCTCATAACACACACGAGGTCAAACCTCTCGTTTACACTCAGCACACAACAATAACCAGTTTGTGGAATAGTGATAATTAGAATGAATCAATACGCGGAGCATGCGCCAATAGGAACAAGGAGCCAGCAGGGTAAGAGAGCAGAAGAGAACAGGGGTAGAGAGACGTAAGTAGACGTGTGCTTTATGTACTCACTATGTAATGAAATACTAACCATTGAAAGCATTACGTCAACCACATTCAAATGAAAAATGTTCAAATATTCAAAACTCTCAGTGAAAAAAAAACTCTCAGTGAATGAGAATGTCTCAAGAAATCATCGATACAGAAGTGTAATTAAATGCAATGAAACTATTTCAATGAATAACTGATACTCTGTTTACTGTGATATACAACAATGGCTGCTTCCTTTGCCTTTCTGAATCCAGGTCAATTTTCATGCAGCTTTGGGTCCGAGGCTGTGTCTCAAGAACACAACTACACTCCAGCTCAAAGAGTGGATGAAGTTGATGGGTAAATAGTAGTATGTGAGGTGTCTGCAACAACAAATTCCATCCCTGAATTCAATACACAATGTAGTTCAAAGCCCCCTTTAGAAAGGTTCACGGCATACTCGTACAGAGCTGGTAACCTGTGCAATGCACATGCACTCCGCCCAGACCAGCAAACTTGTACTAGTGTTTTTTCTTTGGCACCCACTGAGACCTCCCTCCAGTTTGGTTGCCAGCAGGGAGGTTTCTGGCCTTCAAAGTTGAGCGGTAGAAATGGGTATGCAAATGTTACTTCAGTAGCTTGCAAACACATAGATCGTGCATAGTAAAAGAGAGTATAATGGACTTGTACATGCGTAACTAACAGGCACACTTGATGCCAACTTGAGTGGCACAAAGTAGGGAAGATTTCTATAGATGTCGAGAGATCAGTGGGGAGATGCTTTTTGAAAGGTGACATCCCAAAAGTCGGCGGATTTCGGGAGATTTGGCACCTACTGGGGAAATATTGAAAACATGCTTACACTTATAAAGAGTTGTGGCAAATAAACATCCTATTTTCTTTGTATTTGTTTGTGCTTGCAGGCATTACTATGTGCTGATTTGTAGGATTCCGCAGCCTCTCTTGGAATGCGTTATCCAGCGAAGCGGTGAGCATGCTCTTCTGGCGTGACTTTCTCTGTTGCAATGTTGTCCAAAATGGTCATCCTTGTACAACTTGATACACCCCCACCCTGAAGTAAATGTGTGTAGTGTTCTCTAGACATCACAGTAGTACTTGTGTACGTGTCGAGAGCACAACAAACAACTAACTGATCACGGTCTCGTTGTGAAGCAAAGAACCCGAACATCAGTAAGGAAAAGCGCACATTATTATCTGCGTCAAACCAAAGGTGTTAGCTTTCCTCTTATATTGTTGTACTTAAATCTTTATTCCTTATGCCTCCCCCCCCCCCCCCCAACCCCCCCCTGTTCTGTTTCTACATGCGGTGTATTAGGTGTGCAGCAGGCTTCGAAAACATACATGGCAATGTGCCTGATCGTCAATCTTCATATCCAATCAAATGTCTCAGAGAAAGAGCAACGGTAGGTATTGGAACATGCTTGAATGTGAGTGAGTGCATACATAGTGTACGTGTGCATGTGTATGGAGTAACAGTGCTGCCTGAGGAAAAACCATCACGTGCGATGCAACCTTTTGGACAAACATTCGCACACTGGGGCACTGAACCCTCTTGCACCTATTGGCTCTTATTCTGGGCAAAACAGTTTGGTTCTAATTCCGGGTACTCAGTAATAATGGTTACAAAGGGCGTAGTGTAGCCCTTTTCAGCCTGCTTCGGAAGGTCATGTGACGCGATAGAGTGTACAAAATTCACCCCTTTTTCATTTTTGCAGGCCAGGATACTGGCTCAGTCAGCTCATTTTATTTGAAATTTTTGCGGTAAACTGCACGAGAGAGAATTCAATGAGTCTGATTCAGCAGTCTCTACATCATTCTCCTTTATTAATCTTGATGTACACTCATGTACTATCGGCTGCTTCTTACAAACATTTTGCTGGAGGCTCCGACATCTGGACTTGCAAACAAACATGCTTCTTTTCCTCGAATGGCAGGGAGCAGCAAGTTGGAACAAAAACCGTACAGTGTAGTCACTTTAAAACACCTGCATTTACCACTCCCTGCTTCACACTGCGCTGCGCCGCATGCACATTTGCATACAATGCACAAAATTAATGCACTCCCGTGCTCACAATGTGACTCTCAGCCCGTTTTGGGCGTTTCGCTGACATGGTACGGCAAACTCTAGCTGATTTGTTTGCTAAATTTGCAATACGGCGCTACGTGGTGGTCTCGCACAGTCCTGGGCTATCCCAATATAAAGCAAAACATGAGAAATAGTAGCCTGGTGCCTGGTTCGAGTCCTGGTGGTGACAGTCAATTTTTTTCTTCAGACTTTCAACCGGGCACTTAAAGCCTGTATATTGGTACCCTGATGTTTGCTTTCCCCAGCGTTCCACCACTGATAGCCAGATTTAAAGTCTGCCAGCCAAAACAGCACCGTCGGGATTATTTAGCACTTTGTGCGCAGCCGATAACATCTAGGGTGAGTTGTGTCAAGTCAACTGTCAGCCCTATGTCATACTTCACATTTGGTGATTTTATCCTTTCCATGCACAACGTGATAAGAACACTGAATGTAAGTTGTAAGTTACATGTTGTTGTTCACGTGCAACAGGTTTTTAAACGTCTTTACACTCATGCCACGTATGGTGTCAAGCACCGACGCTAGCTGACCTTCGACCAGTCTCCCCAGCCAGGTACAACAGCGGTGTGTGTGTGTGTGTGTGTGTGTGTATATTAGCCATCCCTCGCAGTCAGCAGCAATCCGATCGCATCACGTCTGCGCAGTTACGTCGTCACTGGGGTGACCCAGTGCCACTCTCTGTTA